CTCTCTTTCTCTCTTTTTTTCTTCCCTCTTTCCCTCTCCTCCCTCTCTCTTTCTCTCTCTTTGAATAGGATGATGATAATGATAATAAAAGAAAAAAATTTATATTTTTTTTTGTAAAGAAACAAAAAAAAACGGTTTTAACAACTCAGACGTCACTGTTGGGGAGAAAAAAAAAGGTTTTTCTTTATTCATCTTTTTCTCTTTCTCTCTCTTTTTCTATTGGAAATCGGGAAATTCGAAAAGACTCAAATAAATCGGGAAATAAGTTTTTAAGTAGATTTACAAAAAAAATTCAAAAGAAAATAATAATAATAATATTATAGCATTTCGAATCGAATTTTTTTTTTTTAATTCAAAGAAAAAAATAATTTTTTTTACTTTTTATTTTTCCCCTTTTTTTTTAAATTACTTTTTTCTTTTTTCTTTTTTTTGTTACATTGTATAATTATATAAAATGTATATATATACGTAATGAATAAAAATATTTTCGTCACTTCCGGGAAAAAAAATTTAAAAAAAAAACGCGCGCGTTATTTATTAAAAAAAAAAAAACCGGAAGTTGAGAATTTTTTTTTTTGATTTTATCGGTGATGTAAAATTATTAATAAATTTTTTTTTTTCTTTAAAATTTTATTAAATTTATTTTAAAAATAAATAATTAATAAATAATAATAATAATAATAACAACTGTTATTTTAAGTTATTAATGAATTAATAATAAAAAAAAAGCGAAACTTTCGGCAACGAGCCAGAAAAAAAACAGTTGTACATATTTGTGGAAAAGTTAAAAAAAAAAAAATTTTTTTTAATATAATTTTATAAAAAAAAAAAAAAAGGGAGACGAAATTGATGTTGATGTTGGTGCTACTGGTGCTGCTGTTGCTGTTGCTGTTTTTACTGCTCCTATTATTGCGATCGAATTTAAAATGAATGAACTTTTGTATGTTGTTGTTGTTGTTGCATGTGTAATAACTTATTATTTAACTCGAACACGTTTTTTTTTTTTTTTTTATTTTATTTTTTAAATTAAAAAAAAAAAAAATGGGAAATTCGAAAAGGATAAAAAAAAAAACGTACTACTGTTTTCCGCGTTGTTGTTGGTTGTACGTTTGTTTTCGTTTTTTTAATTTTATTTAGTTAATTTTTTTTTTTAAACCGACTTTTAAATTTACGACCAATTTTTTTTTTCCCTCTTCTTCTTCTTCTCCCAAATGATGACGCAACGTTTCTATTCGAAAATATTTTGCACGTTTTTTTGTTTGTTTGTTTGTTGCATCTATAATAATTACCAATTTTTATTTTGTACTCGAAAATTTTTACGTTGCGAACGTTTCCGGTTTCGAAACTATTAAAAAAAAGATGGAAGGAAAAGGAAAAATTTGAGTTTGAAAATTTACCTTAAAAATATTACGATGACGATGACGACAAAAACAACCCCCATTTATTCCCTCCCTCCCTCCCTCTCCTCTTCCCGAAAAAAAAAAGGGAAAACATAGAAAACAAATTTTCATTTTAAACTGTCAAGATGAATTCGGGTTTCAGAAGCAAAATAAATTGTACACACAAAAAAAAAGAAAAAAGCAAAGAAAGAAGGTCAAATTTAATATTAAAATCCAAATGCTATAAAATTCACAAAATCGGTTTTTACTGGAAAATTCCAAAACGTCAGTTTGAAATTTTTTTTTTCTTTTTTTTGTACTAAAATTAAATTCCTCAAAAAAAAAAAAAGAGAGAGAGAGAGTGAAAAGAGAAAGAAAGAATTTTTTTTTTTATAGAATTCGTCACGTTTAATAAATAATTATCATCATTATCATCATTTCTTTTTAAATAATATTAATAATTATGAAAGGAGACGAAAGAAGATGTTTTTTTTTTTTTTTAAACTTATGATATTTGATTTGATTTAGGTGTCTTGGATCAGAAGGGAAGATTACCATTTGCTGACAGTTGGCTTGACAACCTACAGCAGCGATGAACGATTTTTAGTAGAACACGCAAGACATCTTCAAAGCTGGGGATTACAGATTAAGTTTGTCACTCCAAATGATGCTGGAATTTACGAGTGTCAAGTTTCAACTCATCCTCCAACAAGTATTTTTGTCAAGCTTAAAGTTATAGGTAAGTTATCCTTCCTCACCCCCTCCCCCACCAAAAAAAAATGAAACAAACCCCTTGAAACAAAATATCTTTTTTTTCTTTCCTCCAGAATTTCTTTCTGGAGAAAAAAAAAAAAACGTTACACATTCGTACAATAATAATCGTGGAATCATTTTACCAATTTTTCCCACGTTTTCCAATTTAAAAAAAATACCCTCGCATTTATTTAATAAGCCCGCTTTATGTGGGATTTCCAAAAACAAAAAAAAAGGCGGGAAAATTTATTTAAAAAAAAAAAATTATAATAACTCAAGGACGGGAGTGAGACCGTGAGTGGGAGTGAGATTCATTTTTATCCTCCAGTTCTTACGTCATTTAACTGACCAATTACGTAATATTATTAACATAAATAATTTTCCAGTTTACATAGTTGAAAAATTTTCTTTTTTTTTTTGATCCTGATAAGAAATTTTAATTATTATCAGGATAAATATTTTTATTAATCCAGGTTCGTTCCTATCATTTTTTTCCAATAAAAAAAAAAAATTAATCGAAAGTGAAAAACCAAACGGAAATTAAATACTGAACAAATACCTTTTTTTTCTTTTTTTTATGGGGATCCATTAATAAAATAATTTTTTATTTTCGGGGGTGATTTTTTTAGAAGCGAGCGCGGAAATAACCGGAGCTCCGGATTTATATATAAAAAGTGGGAGCACATTGAGAATCGTTTGCTCTTTAAAACAAAACACGGAGACGCCGGTTTATGTTTTCTGGTATCACAATGATAGAATGATTAACTACGACAAGGAAAGAGTTTCTGTTTCCAATGATAAATCAATAAGCGTTTTACAAATCTACGAAGCAGATAAGACTGATTCAGGAAATTATTCTTGTGTTCCTTCAAATGCAAAACAAGCCAACGTTAACGTACACGTATTAAACGGTAAGAGTATATATATATTTGATATTTTTGTTTTTGCCCCTCTCTCCACTTCCCTTTTCCCTCCCCCATTCCGCCCCTCCCCCTTTTGTGGGGCGGGGGAAACAAAACAAAACCTGGAAAAATATATATGAATGTCGCGCCACCACGTTATGAAGTATTTATACATGCGGATACATAAATTTTTTTACGTTAAATAATTCAAACGTGAATTGTGTGTTTGTGTGTGTGTGTGCGCGCACACTTTTTTTTTAAATATAAAATTAAAAAAGGAAATTATATTCTTACGAAAGAGAGCATAATTTTATTGTTGTTTTAAAATGAGAGAGAGAGAGAGAAAGAGTTTTAAAAAGGGAAATCCGATCGTTCCGGTGACAAAAAGATAAATTGTAGAAACCTTCCTTTTTGCAAACGAATAAGATGTCTGACACCCTTAATTTACACACTACCCCAAACATTATTTAGTGGTGGTTGTGTGTTTTATTTTCGATTCAACGATTTTTAAACTTTACTTCGTTCTCGTGTGCAAGTTTTAATCCGAATCCCCTTCCACTTTCTCCCTCCTCTCTCTCCCCTTCTCCCCCCCCCGGCCACATCCTCACCTCGTGAAATTCGTTCAACCATTTTCTAAAATTAAATAAATTTTAAATGTTTTTGATTTTCATTTTTAAATTAAAAAATTTTCCTCACGAGTCGTATAAAAAAAAAAAAAAACAAAATGGACGACGATGATTACGTAATCTAAAAAAAAAAAAACTGCGATAATTATATTAAAATAAATTAAAATCTTTAAGTATATACATAAAAAATAAACTTTTAAATAATATCGGAAAACTAAAAATAAAATGACCTTTGCCCTCTTTTTAAATATATATTATTTTTCTTTAATTATTTTCCTTTTTTTCGAAAATATTGTCTTTAATTAACTCTTGTTTCCGAATTGTTTTTAATTACTTATAATTAATGACTACGTATTCTTATCAACTTTGTTTTCTCCTAAAGTTGAAATTATCATTAAAAAAAAAAGCAAAAAATAAATAGATAAGTTTTTCTAGTTATTATTTATTTATAAAATTCTTTTTTCAACGTAATATTTTATCACGTGATAAAAATTAACGTGGGAGGAGATTAAAAAAAAAAAACCGTTAAAAAGAATCAATCAATACTATGATGTATCGTTGGAGAAAAATTTAAAAATTTTCCCTTACTCGAGTTGTTTTTTAATTAATTGTGAAAATGTCAAGTTAAGTATCATTATTATTATTATTTCAGGTGAAAAACCAGCTGCGATGCAACATGGCGGACGAAACAATTGTTCTCTTATAACCGGTCATTTATTTTTAATTTGCTGGTGTTGTTGTCTTCTACCGATTATCATGCCAATAACGTATTACGAACAAGAAAGAGAATTTATACAAATATTATTAAACGATTTTAATTATAATCGAAAAATGATTTTTTATCGTTTTTTCGGTTATACCAGGTGATAAGTATTCAAACAACAACAACCAAAAAACACCCTACGTTTGTTCAACAACAACCACAACAACAAGATCAATAATAATTTTTTTTTTCCGATTCGAATTCGTCGTTTATTTAAATTTAAAAAATTTATTTTTTTTTGTTATGTGAAAGGTTTATTATTGTTATTATTATTATATTTTAAATTTTATTAATTGTTTATAAAAAAAAATATTTAAAATAATGATAATGATGATGATGATAATTTATTATTATTTACAAACAACAACAACAACAAAATCCTTTTATTTAAAAAAAAAAAAAATTCATAACCATATTCCATTCGTACCTTTTACAAAAACAACCACTATTTTCATATCGAAATGAAATAATAATAATAATAATAATAGTAATAGTAATAATAATAATGATAGTAATAATAATGATAATGATAAAACAAAAGAGTTTCATTTAAACCGTTTGCCGCATTCAATATCCATTTATAAACATTAAATCATAACGTTGAAAACTCATACGAAAATCTTCGCGTTGTTTGTTCGTTTGTTTGTTTGTTTGTTTCGACGTACGACCTTCGATGGTAATCTCTCTTTCTCTCTCTCTCTTGTTAAATAATAATAATAATTCAAGGTAACAATTCTACTTTTGTTACGTCACAAATTTTCATAAAATTTCGTTTCCTGTTACCAAATAACGTCGTCAACCCGTAAACAATCCGATTTAAATCGCTTATTTCTTTTACGTTGTGTTATTATTATTATTATTATTTCAAGTTTATCAAAAAATGAATTTACAGTGTTTTAATAATAATAATAATGATAATAATAATAATGATTTTATTACTATCGAAAAATTGGTTAAAAGTTTTTAATTACAACGCGAAATAAATTAGAGGAAAAATTTTTCGAGTATAAAAAAAAATTTTTTTTTATAGGGATTAATTTTTTTATGGGAAAAAGGCTGTTAGCAAATTATTATTATTAATATAAAATCCTGAAGGAAACCATTTTAAAGATATTTAAAACATTATAAGTGGCCTTCGGTTAGAATAGATAAAGAAGAGAGAGAGAGAGAGAGAGAGAGAGAGTGAGGAACAACAAAAACAACAAAAATTTCTTTTTTCAAACAAAATGATGTAAAAAATATTTTTCTTTATATTTAAATACGAAACTCTCCCTCCGAGTTTATTAATAATGATAATAATGATAATTATAATGATAATGATAATGATGATAATGATAATGATAATAAATAGTTGGAAAAATTTAATTTTCTTTCGGAATGATTTCATAGAAAAATTTAACGGTATGGAGTTTAATAAAAAAAAAAAATAACAGCAAACGGTTCTTTATGTAAAGAAAACAAACGATTGTTTATTACGTCATCGAATACCCTCGAACGTACGGAAATGACGTCAAATGTTAATATAAAAAAAAATTCTATTAAATAACCTTTTTGAAAGTAACTTTAAACAAAAAAAAAAAAATTTTTCGATATCGTGGATCAAAGTAAAAAAAAAAATTTTTTTTTTTTTTAGTTCTACTGCCCCGAAGCCGGTTATCGAAGTCTTTTAAACAAAAAATAATAATGATGATGATGATGATGATGATGATAAAAACGAGATGAAAAGTTTTTTTTTTTTTGAGTACGTAAGTAAAACAAGAGAAAATCATTCAAAAATTATGGGAAAAGAAAAGCAAAAAAAAAAAATTATTATTATTATTTTTTTTTTTTTTTAAAAGTTGGTAGTATTAGATTTCTTTTTTTTAGGTTGGTATTAAAATTTTTTTTCTTTTTTTTTGTATGTCGTAACCGCAAAAGTTAATTTAATTTTCTCCGGAGGATTTTTATTAAAAAGTTAAATGCGCAAACGCAAAATTTTTTTTTTTTTTTGCGTTTGTTCGTTCGGTATTATTACTTATTATTATTAATTTTAATAATTTAAAAAAAAAAAGGAAGTAATAAAAATTAAATTTTTATTACCCACTCATTTCAATTAAACTTGATTTAAGTAATAATTTAAAAAAAAAAAAAAACGTCGAGCGACAATATTTATGTAAAATAATTAAAAAAAAACCGTAATAAAAAAATTTTTTTCTGTTTCGTTTAAATAATAATAATAATAATAAAATCTTCGTTAGTAAATAAATAAATAAATACATAAGTAACAATAATAATAATAATAATAATAATAATTTTTTTAAAAATTAACATTAATTCGATTTGATTGAATTAATTAATTTAAAATGTTTTTCCTTTTTTTTCTTTTTCATAAAATTAAATGTTAAATAATTTAAACAATAATGAAACAAACAAACGAGCAAACGAACAAACAAACAAACAAGAAAAGAAAAAAATTGATAAACATAAATTTAATGATTTTGTTTTGTTTGTACATAAAAAAAAAAACGGGGAAAACGGAGAAAACGCTGCAAATTTAAAAAAAAATAATTACAAAAGTAAATCAACAAAAT